AAACTAGCCACTACTCCACAGGATGGATAGGGTACAACAAAAACTAGCCCACTACAACCACAGGATGAATATGAGGTACACAATAACTAGCGCCACAACCACACAGGATGGATATGAGGTACACAATAAACTAGCCACTACCCTCCACATGATGGATATGAGTACACAAATAAACTAGCCCACTACATCCACAGATGGATAGAGGTACACAATAAACTAGCGCCACTACCAATCCACAGGAAGGATATGAGGTACAACAATAAACTAGCCACTACCATCCACAGATGGATAGAGGTACAAGGCAATAAACAAGCCCTTCCAACCAGCAGATGGATATGAGGTACAACAATAAACTAGGCCACTACCATCCACAGGATGTATATGAGGTACACACCAAAAAACTTAGCCACGACTACCATCCACAAAGGATGGAAATGAGGTCAACAATAAACTAGCCCACGTAGTTAATACTACCATCCACAGGATGGATATGAGGTGCACAATAAACAAACTAGCCTCTACCATCCACAGGAGGCAATAAGGTACAACAATAAACTAGCCACTACCATCCACAAGGATGGATATGAGGTACACACTAAACAAGCCACTACCATCCACATGAATGGTATGATGTGCACAATAAACTAGCCACTAACTGAAACCTTATCCACAGGTGATAATGAGGTACCAATAAACTAGTCCACTAACCCATCCACAGGATGGATATGAAGAGGTACACAATAAACCTCATCCACTACCATCCCACAGGATGGATTGGAGGTACACATATAAACTGAGCCACTACCATCCACAGGATGATATGAGGATGCACTAATAAATAGAGGCCACTACCATCCCACAGGAGGATATGAGTACACAATAAACTAGCCACTACCATCCCAGGATGGATAGAGTACACAATAAACTAGCCACTACCATCCACAGAATGGATATGAGGTTACCCAATAAACTAGCCACTACCATCCACAGATGGATATGAGGTGCACAATAAATACTAGGCCACTACCATCCACAGGATGGATATGAGGTGCACAATAAACTAGCCACTACCGATCCACAGGATGTGAATGAGGTACAGACAATACACTAGCCACTCCATCCCACTAGGATGGATATGAGTACACCATCAACTAGCCACTACCATCCACCGATGGATATGAGTTCACAATAAACTAGCCACTACATCCACAGGAATGGTATATGAGTGCACAATAAACTGCCACTGCCATCCTCAGGATTGAATATGAGTACACCAATAAACTAGCCACTACCTCCCAGGATGGGTATCGAGGTACACAAAAACTAGCCCAACTACATCCACAGGATGGATATGAGGTGCACAATAAACTAGCCACTACCATCCACAGTAAGGATATGAGTTACATACAATAAACTAGCCACTATTGCCATCCAACTCAGGATGGATAATGAGGGTACAGCAAAAACTAGCCACTACCAGCCCACAGGATGGATATGAGGTGCACAATAAACTAGCCTCTACCATCCCACAGGATGGATAATAGGTAATTGCTTTCAGAGGTTGATTATCGGCAATAAACTATCCACTAACCATCCACAGATGGAAACATGGGTTATAAATAGATCTATGGCCGCATCGGCGAAAAAAGTCTCTTATTATAATACATCATGTCTACAGAAATCGATTCTCTCGGAATTCAATTGAAGAATTTGACTTCTTGTCTGGCAGCAGCGCCATGTATTGTACTCTCGTAGAGTGAATTGGCAGCAGGTCCTCTGCCTGGGAACACTGCAGGCACAGGCAGGTCTGTCCTGTCTGGAACACTGCATGCAGTGTCAGCTTGCTGCAACACAGCAGGCGACTTCTGCTGGCTTCAACATCACAGCAGGTCATGCTGTCTGGAACACTGCACAGGTCTGCTAGCCCTGCAACACAGCAGCACGGTCTGCTGGCCTGCAACACTACAGCAGTCCTGCTGTCTGGAACATGGTGCAGCAGTCTGCTGGCTGCAATACACAGCAGCCCGTCTGCTGGCTGCAAACACTACAGCAGTGTCCTGCTGTCTGGAACACAGGCAACAGGTCTGATGTCTGAACACTGCAGCAAGTCTGCTGGTCTGGAACAATGCAGCAGGTCCTGCTGTCTGGAACACTGCAAGGCAGGTCTGCTGTCTGGAAACACTGCATAGGTCTGTCTGTCAGAACAACTGCAGCAGGTCTGCTGTCTGGAACACTGCAGCAGGTCTGCTGTCTGGAACACTGCAGCAGGTCTGCTGTCTGGAACACTGCAGCAGGTCTGCTGTCTGGAACACTGCAGCAGGTCTAGCTGCCTGAACACTGGCAGCAGGTCTGTTGTCCTGGAACTCTGCAGCAGGTCCTGCTTCTATAATCACTCAGGCAGGTCTGCTGTTGGACTGGAACACTGCAGCAGGCCTGCTGTCTGGAACACTGCAGCAGGTCTGCTGTCTGGAGCACTACAGCAGGCCTGCTAGCTGGAACACTTCAGTAGGTCTGCTGGTTGCAACACTGTAGCAGACCTGCTGGTTGCAACACTGTAACAGACAAGATATTCACAAACACTGATGGTCGGTCGATTCATACAGGGGATGGGCCTTACACCAAAACGTCTAGCCGAATAGGTAAAACTTGCTATTTTCGCTTAAATAGCAACGCTGCTCTTGCCGAATAAGGCAAGCAAAAATTTGTGTATGCTATAATTTTGCAAAAATCATTCTGACCCTAACTAAAAAAAAAATATTTCGTTGTGTTTGTTATTGTAAACTTATCTAAAATATATTTACTTGGATTAGGCTTAAGTAAATTGCTCCTATGATAAGGTTAGGTAAGTTTTCTAAGGTTCTTTTGGTACAAAATTAATAATTTTTATATTAACAAAAGTGAAAAACTATATCATTAAATTTTAGAACTTAATTTTAAACGAGTTCTTGCTAATTGACTAATTTTACCCATTCAGCACGATATATATATATATATATATATATATATATATATATATATATATATATATATATATATATATATTACGTAGAATGAAAGGGGGTAAAGCAGCTGGAACTGATGGGATCATGACAGAAATGTTAAAAGCAGGGGGGGATATAGTGTTGGAGTGGTTGGTACTTTTGTTTAATAAATGTATGAAAGAGGGGAAGGTACCTAGGATTGGCGGAGAGCATGTGATAGTCCCTTTATATAAAGGGAAAGGGGACAAAAGAGACTGTAAAAATTATAGAGGAATAAGTTTACTGGTATACCAGGAAAAGTATACGGTAGGGTTATAATTGAAAGAATTAGAGGTAAGACAGATGTAGGATTGCGGATGAGCAAGGAGGCTTCAGAGTGGGTAGGGGATGTGTAGATCAAGTGTTTACATTGAAGCATATATGTGAACAGTATTTAGATAAAGGTAGGGAAGTTTTTATTGCATTTATGGATTTAGAAAAGGCATATGATAGATGGATAGAGGAGCAATGTGGCAGATGTTGCAAGTATATGGAATAGGTGGTAAGTTATTAAATGCGGTAAAGAGTTTTTATGAGGATAGTGAGGCTCAGGTTAGGGTGTGTAGAAGAGAGGGAGAATACTTCCCGTAAAAGTAGGTCTTCGACAGGGATGTGTAATGTCACATGGTTGTTTAATATATTTATAGATGGGGTTGTAAAGGAAGTAAATGCTAGGGTGTTCGGGAGAGGGGTGGGATTAAATTTTTGGGGAATCAAATTCAAAATGGGAATTGAACAGTTACTTTTTGCTGATGATACTGTGCTTATGGGAGATTCTAAAGAAAAATTGCAAAGGTTAGTGGATGAGTTTGGGAATGTGTGTAAAGGTAGAAAGTTGAAAGTGAACATAGAAAAGAGTAAGGTGATGAGGGTGTCAAATGATTTAGATAAAGAAAAATTGGATATCAAATTGGGGAGGAGGAGTATGGAAGAAGTGAATGTTTTCAGATACTTGGGAGTTGACGTGTCGGCGGATGGATTTATGAAGGATGAGATTAATCATAGAATTGATGAGGGAAAAAGGTGAGTGGTGCGTTGAGGTATATGTGGAGTCAAAAAACGTTATCTATGGAGGCAAAGAAGGGAATGTATGAAAGTATAGTAGTACCAACACTCTTATATGGGTGTGAAGCTTGGTGGTAAATGCAGCAGCGAGGAGACGGTTGCAGGCAGTGGAGATGTCCTGTTAAGGGCAATGTGTGGTGTAATATTATGCAGAAAATTCGGAGTGTGGAAATTAGGAAAAGGTGTGGAGTTAATAAAAGCATTAGTCAGAGGGCAGAAGAGGGGGTTGAGGTGGTTTGGTCATTTAGAGAGAATGGATCAAAGTAGAATGACATGGAAAGCATATAAATCTATGGGGGAAGGAAGGCGGGGTAGGGGTCGTCCTCGAAAGGGGGTGGAGAGAGGGGGTAAAGGAGGTTTTGTGGGCAAGGGGCTTGGACTTCCAGCAAGCGTGCGTGACGTGTTAGATAGGAGTGAATGGAGACGAATGGCACTTGGGACCTGACGATCTGTTGGAGTGTGAGCAGGGTAATATTTAGTGAAGGGATTCGGGGAAACCGGTTATTTTCATATAGTCGGACTTAGTCCTGGAAATGGAAGTACAATGCCTGCACTTTAAAGGAGGGGTTTGGGATATTGGCAGTTTGGAGGGATATGTTGTGTATCTTTATATGTGTATGCTTCTAGACTGTGTATTTGAGCACCTCTGCAAAAACAGTGATAATGTGCGAGTGTGGTGAAAGTGTTGAATGATGATAAGTATTTTCTTTTTGGGGATTTTCTTTCTTTTTTGGGTCACCCTGCCTCGGTGGGAGACGGCCGACTGTTGAATATATATATATATATATATATATATATATATATATATATATATATATATATATATATATATATATATATATATATATATATATATATATTATATAATGCATGTGTGTGGTGTACACTTACTAATTAGATGTGCACATTGTACAGGTCGCGTCGGTCGAGCGCCGCTGCGGGCTGCTCCACGCCGCAGCCCAAGAGCTTCAACTATGGAGGTGAGTGATTCCTGTGTTAGTGATTCCTGTGTTAGTGATTCCTGTGTTAGTGATTCCTGTGTTAGTGATTCCTGTGTTAGTGATTCCTGTGTTAGTGATTCCTGTGTTAGTGATTCCTGTGTTAGTGATTCCTGTGTTAGTGATTCCTGTGTTAGTGATTCCTGTGTTAGTGATTCCTGTGTTAGTGATTCCTGTGTTAGTGATTCCTGTGTTAGTGATTCCTGTGTTAATGATTCCTGTATTAATGTTGCCTGTGTTAATGTTGCCTGTGTTAATGTTGCCTGTGTTAATGTTGCCTGTGTTAGTGATGCCTGTGCTTTACCTCAACACTCAGGTGGTGCTTCAAAGAAGCTGTCTGCATGCCATTACTACGGGATCTTGATCCAAGTAGTAGGAGCTATCCTTTAATTAAATCCCGTAGCTTCCCATTTCTCATTTTACTGATTTTTAACGCTTCTCCGTGATAATATTATTATTAATTATTTTAACTAGTTGTATCTATCTCTGATCCAAGAAAGACATCCACCAACCGGGGAACTATAGACCTATATCTTTACTTGAAGTCACTGGAAAAGTTCTTGAGATCATTTCCAATAGATTGAACTATTATATGGAGTTTAATCACCTCTTTACAGAAAAACAATTCGGCTTTAGGACTCAGAGGTACCCATCATGCAGTAAATATTATCGATACTGTTGCGAGTCTAAAACATCAGGACAATCTTGCCCTAATTGCCACCAGAGATGTTCATAAAGCTTTTGATAGCTTATGGCAGATGGTCTTTATATACAAACTTATTGACCTACCTGACCATAACTGGACCTTTCTCAGATTAATATATAACTTCTTAACTCAAAGAAAAATCATTCCTACCTTTCACGGCAGTCGACAGCGCCTTTTATACCGACAGCTGGTGTCCCACAAGGTTCTTGTCTTAGTCCAATTCTGTTCAACATTTATGTGAATGACCTTCCTCAACCAGAGTTTAGTGATACGATTGTGACACAGTTTGCAGATGATGTTATTCATGTCGTCTCATCAACTCCGGTAACAGGAAAATACAAGTATGAGAGAGTCATAGAAAAAATGAATATTGAACTTCGTCGAACATCTAATTGGGAAAAGAAATGGAGAATTACGACTATCCTGACAAAGTCCTTGTTAGCACGATAGGATGTTTTGCATCAACAATCGAAGATAAAGGGGGTATCTCCATCAGAGGTACACCTGTAGCCATTAGAAACCCTAACAAGATTTTGGGATATGAAATAGACAGGCTGCTCCACTCAACATCTCATGTAACTAAAAAGATCAACATAGCCAAAGCCGGTCTTAACAGTCTCCTCGATTCAATCAAGTCCCTCCACATGTCAAAAAACATCTGTATAAAATGTTAATACGACCTATACTCGAATACCCTTGTGTCCCAATGTCATTAACAACAAAGACCAATATGCTACGGTTGCAAAGGGTCCAGAATAGAGCTCTTCGCTTCATTACGGGCACCAGGTGGAGAGACAGAGTTAAAATGGCAGATTTACACGTACAACAAGATATTACTGCCATAAATGTACGCCTGGACACCCTGAAAAAGAAACAACTCTATACAATGCAAGAAATATACATGCCAGATAGAGAACATCCTATACAAGTGGTAAATACCACGGATTATATCATCAATACTCCTCCTCACAGGACTCAAAGAATGACTTTACCACAGAGGGTCCGGCGTTTTATCCATAAAGATGATTACCATCGACCCATGATATTGAGCAACCTCCCTGATGAAGAAGATTGGGTAACACCAGAACCCTTCTATGTATACTGAGAACATCATCGCCCCCAATTAGGGAGACATCTTATATAACAATCTAATGTAAAAATTATGCTATTTACTATGGCTGGACACCACCTGTAAGAAGCCATTGTCACGTAATTCTATAAACTGGCCAGAAAATTATTGCCTTCATTGTCGCATAATATCCGTTGTGCAATCGCAAAAAAAAAGAAAAAAAAAATCAATTGCAACTTGTATAATTACTACCAATAATTCAGAGTCATGTACTTATATATCTGTTATAACTATGTGACTCTGATGGGTTAGTATTATACCTCTTAAAGAATATCTTATCATTTCACAAACACTTTAAATTACACCAAAGTGGTTGGGCCACTTACCTTTTATATCCTACCTCTCTCCCCCCTCCCACTCTTTTCCAAAATTTCTATCCTTACCCATCCTTCTTCCTTACCCATCTTACCAAAGCTCTGGTCTGGACAATATAATGTGTTAGTGATTCCTGTGTTAGTGATTCCTGTGTTAGTGATTCCTGTGTTAGTGATTCCTGTGTTAGTGATTCCTGTGTTAGTGATTACTGTGTTGGTGATTCCTGTGTTGGTGATTCCTGTGTTAGTGATTCCTGTGTTAGTGATTCCTGTGTTAATGTTGCCTGTGTTAGTGATGCCTGTGCTTTACCTCAACACTCAGGTGGTGCTTCAAGGAAGCTGTCTGCATGCCATTACTACGGGATCTTGATCCAAGTAGTAGGAGCTATCCTTTAATTAAATCCGGTAGCTTCCCATTTCTCATTTTACTGATTTTTAACGCTTCTCCGTGATAATATTATTTAATTATTTTAACTAGTTGTATCGATCTCTGATCCAAGAAAGGTATCCCCTTATTGCAGGGATGGCCAGCCTTTGGCGCATTGCATGATCAGAAGTGGCGTATTGCACCCCAGTGATAAAAGAAGCTAGGCTACTCGTTCAAAAATTACTAACCAATAACTGATTTGTAGAACAAAATTATAACAGAAATTCGAATAATTTATAGCAAGAAATTAGTTTTACCGAGAATAAATAAAAAAATTTAGCAATCATTTTTAGTGATTTTTAGTGATAATTGACGTTTAGCGAGTGTCATCTTTCATATTGATCTGATTTCATTTAAAAATATATAGTGAGACTAGAAATAAATTACAGTGGACGCCCACACCGCGTTATGAGTTACTATATATTCATTACACACAGTGCTCTGCCCTTATCAGGGACATTGCACAAAGAGGGACTTTTGTACAGGAGTCATTCCATAAGTGTATACGTTTGAGATTTGTTTGGTCTCGAGGTGCCAGGCACTAGCAGTGGCTGCAGTACATCGAAGGTCTTTACCAGTCAGTTTACAATTGACACTTGTGTGGTAGAGTTGTGCTTCGTTCTTTGTAAACAATTAAAGCCTTGTACTTTTTGAAACATTAGTCTTGTTTATACAGTCAGAGTGAAAAAAAAAAAACAGCAGAAAGTGATAGTAAGCGTCAATTTAATGAATAGTGGGAAAATTAATTATTTATTGCTGGTCCATCAGGAAAACTGTTGTGTATTGTTTGTGACAATACTCTCTCGGATAATAGAAAACATTATCTTAATAGATACTATCAAAAACGTCGGGCTGAAATAGAGGAAAAACCAAAGTTAGCGCTTTTATCTGAGTTACGGAAAGAGTTTTTGATTAAGAAAAAGGATGAAACGAAAAGAAGGCAATTTTTTTTTTCTCAAGTCGGCCGTCTCCCACCGAGGCAGGGTGACCCAAAAAGAAAATCCCCCAAAAGAAAATACTTTCATCATCATTCAACACTTTCACCTCACTCACACATAATCACTGTTTTTGCAGAGGTGCTCAGAATAACAGTTTAGAAGCATATACGTATAAAGATACACAACATATCCCTCCAAACTGCCAATATCCCAAACCCCTCCTTTAAAGTGCAGGCATTGTACTTCCCATTTCCAGGACTCAAGTCCGGTTATATAAAATAACAGGTTTCCCCGAGTCCCTTCACTAAATATTACCCTGTTCACACTCCAACAGATCGACAGGTCCCAAATACCATTTGTCTCCATTCACTCCTATCGAACACGCTCACGCACGCTTGCTGGAAGTCCAAACCCCTCGCCCACAACACCTCCTTTACCCCCTCCCTCCAACCTTTTCGAGGACGACCCCTACCCCACCTTCCTTCCCCTACAGATTTATACGCTCTCCATGTCATTCTACTTTGATCCATTCTCTCTAAATGACCATACCACCTCAACAAACCCTCTTCAGCCCTCTGACTAATACTTTTATTAACTCCACACCTTCTCCTAATTTCCACACTCCGAATTTTCTGCATAATATTTACACCACACATTGCCCTTAGACAGGACATCTCCACTGCCTCCAACCGTCTCCTCGCTGCTGCATTTACAACCCAAGCTTCACACCCATATAAGAGTGTTGGTACTCTATACTTTCATACATTCCCTTCTTTGTCTCCATAGATAACAGCACCCCAAATTTACCTACTACTCTCTCCACAACATTTTTACCCACTTTAGCATTAAAATCGCCAACCACAAGTACTCTCACACTTGGTTCAAAACTCCCCACGCATTCATTCAACATTTCCCAAAATCACTCACTCTCCTCTCACTTCCCCAGGTGCATATACACTTATTATAACTCACTTCTCACATCCAACCTTTATTTTACTCCACATAATCCTTGAATTAATACATTTATAGTCTCTCTTTTCCTACCATAACTTATCCTTCAACATTATGGCTACTCGTTGTTAGGTAAGACACATATGCAACAGTTAGGTATCTTTATTTCGAAACGTTTCGCCTACACAGTAGGCTTCTTCAGTCGATTACAGAAAGGTTGATAGAAGCAGAAGAGACTTGAAGACGATGTAATCAGTCCATCACCCTTAAAGTTTTGAGGTGGTCAGTCCCTCAGTCTGGAGAAGAGCATTGTTCCATAGTCTGAAACAATATGGAGTTGAAGTGACAGGATGGAGCCTTATATAGCGCCAGAATGTGAGACGTAGGTCACTAGTAGAACGCAGATGTTGGGAGGTCAGGTCCCTCTCAAATCCAGCCGTTCTCACTAGTAGAGGTTGTCGAAGTTGATTTCAGGTCTGTACCAAGATACCCTTGTGTTGCAGTGTCTGACAAATTG